GTCAGGTTCGTAATACCAAATTTTATAGACTGAAGTTGAAAAGGTGTTAAATCAGTAGTCATTAATCAGTCAGTTAGTCGCTATCAACATGCGATCTGGTTTTAGTGCATAATCGTCTAAGTTACTGAGACTCACGTCACCACAGTAAGAGAGAAGGTACCATGATGTAAGATAAAGACATAAGCAAGAATGTAGTCAGAAGTGCTATAAAGTCATGAATAGATAACAGAGAGGAATTCTACAACAATAGAATTCAGTATGATGAGAAAGATGACGATAATGTGTGGATATATCTACACCACTATCGAGACCGATTCTCACTCATACCACCTACAGTCTACAAACACTTGATGTTTTATCATATGGACCTGAGCCGGTGAGTTCACGTCCCACTACACTGCTCAGACCCACAGTCGAAGAATTTATGGACTAAAGTAAGGCTTCGGTTTACCCACTTTTAACCGTTTTACTGCATGAACATACTTAAACTGTCAGTGTACAACAGGGCAGACGCTGACTAAGTGTGTATATCACATTTTCCAATCTTACTAGTTGATAGAAGTTTACAGCTCCTCTTCTCTTTCAAACTCAACGTCTGACTTCTACGTCACTGGAGTGATGGAATCACAATTCAGAATATACTACGGTGGTAGTGTTAGTAGAACACTGAAAGCCTTTCTCATATCCTTTTACTTTAACAGCAGTGTTTCAAAGTAATGCAGTTGAACATAGCCAACTGCAGCGTAATACACCTGCCTCTTGGTAGACAGTCGGATATGACGGATCCACAAAAAGCGGCTTCATCTAGTGAAAGTCAATCAGGACTTTTGCATTCGTGCAGCGATCTCATCAATCATCCACCCAGATATACTGACCTAACTTTCAAAGTAAGTGAAGTGGTCAATGCACAAACCAACTCACTGCTTCCTGTTGGATGGTGCACCAACACGGAGCAGTATCAGTGTGACAGTTTGCATCTAGGAAATGAGAAATGCATCTCAAGGATCCTGAAATTACCAGTCAATATGACCAGAAGACTTTGCATCCCATGGGCTTCATCATCGAATTAATTATTTCACCTAAATATTCTATGTTTACCGAGAAGTCTCCTCCCACAAGATAAATCACTTCAAAGGTACTTGACCAGATGGCGATGTCCATTAGCACGCCCATGATAAAATAATGTGTGAATAGAGATAGTGGATATCCCTGACGGACACCACTTCATACACATAAATCACCTGATATCTCATCATGGGCTTTATGCCACCTGTAGTTATCAGGATACAAAGCTTTTAATAGAGTCATTTTCAAAGGCACATACTCTGATAAGACTTTTTGATCGACGGAGTGAAATGATGTTTCCAGGTCATGAAAGATGGCTAATTTCGGGCGTTGGTAAGTCTGACTGCGTTCAGACACCTAGAGCAGGGTGAAGGTCACGTCTATTCACGCTCAGATCTCAAACCTACCTGTTTTCTTCCAGTTCTCACATCTCCAGAATCACTCGGGTGTCTAACGAATACAGAAGCTAGGATCTTAGACATCATATTTGCCAGACTAGTTACACCGTTGTTATCATTATAGGATTTATCCTCTTCCTTGAAGAGTGGGACAATCAGTGACTGAGGCCAATAAAAGGAGATAACGTTTGGTTAATCAGCAAAATAAGCCTCGACCATCATCCTTCTATAGTTCTGGTAATAACCTATCGGGACTTGCTGCCTTTCCAGACTTAAACCTTCTTAACTTCAGTAAGAGTTGTAGAGCCTTATCTTAGTGCTCTGTTAAGGATTTCACTTGTTAGCAGGCAACTGAAGATAAGGTGCAGACCAGTTGAACTGTCCCTCAAAGTATTTTGCCCACTGTCCTAGTCATCTAAACTGCGACTTTTTCACAATTCAACTGCGTTCTGAATAGTCTAGTTGCTGAAGTGTTTACCACATTCAATTACGTGCAGATATATACATGCTGGAATCAGCATGTAATCACTATGCAAACAAGTACTCCGAAAATGGCGGTAACCTACGACCACTCCTCTCTACCGATAACTGAGAGCATTGTGATCTATTTATATCCACCGTTGAGATTAGGTCGATGGACTCCACGTCAGACAATTTCTCCTTTTCCGGTTGAAGCAAGCATTGTAAGGTAAAAGGTAAACGATAAACAAATGATCACAGGAATATAAAGAATTAAGGAAGAAATGAAAGGAGTAAAATGCGATAATGAGATGAGAACGATACGAGCATTCTAGGATGTTAAAGTGATGGACAAAATCCCATCATAAGAGAAATGAGTGATAAAATGTTTGAACACACCAACATTGTGGAAGAAAATGATCATACTACTCAATAAACGGTGGTAGCGCAGAGCTGTATGCAGTAGAAGGGTATGCGGGTAACACAAACAGAAAATAAAATTGAAGCGAGGAAGGATTTTAAAATACCGTTCGTCAAAGCCAACATAGCTTCTGGAAAGTCCTATCATAAGATGCTGTAGCGGTACAATTTACTAATGCCGAAACCAACAACAGCCCTAGAATACTTTATTCGTTTTACCCTTTCGAGTAAGCAAGGCGTAGGGAAACTTCATTCTGAATTAGCGCAGTTTGACACAAAAAAAGAGCATCTTGTCATCTTAAACACTGTCCAGCTGACTACTAGTAATTTTCAGGAAGACCTCAGTTCAATCCCATTGTGTAAATACCAGACTGGTTCAGAAGACAAAATGAATAAGATATGCCCATCTAGAAGAGGCTAGAAATAGCTACAAGGTTATTATGAATACCCATAAGGCATTGTATCTTGTGCTTATGGTATATACTTATGAAATAGATCACATATCTGATGAACCTCCTGCTTCTCAGTAGGTCCCAGTCTGTTGTGTTCAGTGATAGACACATGACTGTGTGGTTAGATAACCGAATTACACAAACATGCCATACAGTCAACACAGCTTTATAAATTTTGCAATGGTGACATCCGTTTAATCTTCATTCTTTCACTGATTGCTGACCATAATCACATCAGATGACCGGTCAGATGCTATGGAGTAATACCTCTGACTACATTGTTCACCTGTACATATTCACACGCTTCAGGTGGACGTAATAACCTTGAGACCTCAGATATATCTCACTGTAGAATATTGACAATGACAGTGGGAATGCACATTTCTGAGGAATAGTGTCCATCCAATATCAGTGTGCTTCGTTACCTGTCCTATCCGCCATCTTTTTGGTTTGCAGATCTAGATTGCCGCTTGGAAGAACATCGGTGCATACTTTATCATGTTCAACTAATTGTTATACTTCATGCATTTAGTCGCCTCAATGAAGTCGAATAACGAAGCAGAAACATCATTCTCAGAATAGGATGACGTCATTCCATTTCACAAGATCTTCATCAGTTTCATACAACCTGAATTAAAGGAGAAACACTACAAAGCATATTAACATGTGTTAAATGGAACATTTTAAGTTACCAAATAATTTAGCAAATAGGCGTGAAAAAGCGACTAGGCCTTTCTATATTCCCCTGCATACCACTTGACTGAACAAACACAATGTGTTATCACTAAACTAATTATATGAATGCACAACTCTCACTCGGAAGCAGCCCTCAGTGAAAAAATTTGAAAGCAAGTGAATGCTTTTCGTCAAATGGATGATTTCCAGGTAGTTTTAACAGCGAACTGACGCCACTCACTGACTCATAGGGGACAAACAACGCTGAACAGCTATTTGGTTTGAGACCACACACAGGTTTGAGCCAACATAAACGTATGGGACATAGTCGAAGACCTCTACTATCCAGAAAATTTACTGTGACTCGCAAGATGAGCTGCCCATCTCTAGTTAATTTACCGTATGGCGTCATTATGATTAAGTATCATCAGTGATCATACATTCCAATGCCTTACTAGTTGAGTCCAAACTTCCTTGTTAATTTTGCATTGCAATGCAGAGCTTCTAATCATAAGATCGCAAGTTTGTTGAGTCACAGTTATCAAAGGCAGATTCGTGTCCTTCAGTGAAGTGACTCTATGTCAAACAACGTGAAAATTGGTACGAGTAAACACTTTCAACTATCTGGCATAAATACACAGAGTTTTCTATCTCTTACTCCAAAAAAATATAACCAGTAAGCACTGTGCAAAAAACCAGCTGCAGTGATTTTACCTTTGTTTTGCCTTCGAGAAAACCTGACGTAGAATATGATTTTTCTGACCAGATAGGCAAAATGTGTGCTGCTAAGCCTGTGATAATCACGAAAATGATAACTGTCAAATATCATATCAAAAACGATACTAATATTTAAAGGATTCAAGCAAAAACGCTTGACTCGATAACCCCTTTCTTCTTCAATTGCTTTCAAGCGTAAGAAAGTGTGCTTCTCAATTAACTAGTAAAAATATTCCAATTACTGTGTTTCACCTATCTTATCAGGCAACTCTATGTATCGCGAAAATATTCAGTATCACACTACCATACTAGTTGTAAATATTAAGTAGTTGAAATGTATATTCCAATTTACACAAATTAATATTGGCTGTGAACGATTGGCATTAGTCAGCCGTATTATGCACTTAGTTTATAAGGAACATTAAATACAGATCCTATTTATATGAAAACCAGAAAAATACCTTCTCATTCTGTTTCGTATAGCTTGAGGTAGTTTATATAAATGTGAGTGATAACTAATATCACCTACAAAACAAGAAGTGTCTGACTAACCCTTGATGGGAAAAATTATTCAACTTCTCCCTTATTTAGAAGCTCACTGACGCATCACAAAGACAATTTCAACTTTCCTTGTTTGTATGATAAATATAACAACAAGCTATTTCTAGATTGTCTTGACGGTCAGTATCATCAACCTATCAACTAAATATGGGCATATTATTCATGAGGAGTACAAATTTAGACGAACCGAGTTATGAGAAGCTATATATAATTCTGAGGAAGCCAAACCAACCTTCCCGGATACCAACTCCACAATTCATGCGTATAAAGAATAGTTTTCAAGTTTACGATACATGACGAAGATTTTAATGTTCTCTTATTTATTATGTCTATATTTCATTGATACAATGAAACTAATAAGGAAGTATTTAACATCGGATTCACAAAAAGTGATGCCGTCATCAAATGGAAATAATCTAAGTAATGCTGAAGCTGCAATATCTGATGAACAAGTGGTTGACAAAAGTGATTGGCTTATGCGTACTGAATCCAGTATAGGTTCAAATGATTCAATGGAACACATACTTGTAAGTTATAGTCATCGAGAGAAGGATGTAGCCAAACGTTTGGTGGAATTACTTCAGGAAAAAGGCTATAAGGTAATTCTTATACAATTATTTTGAGCAATTCACATTACCATTTCTTTGTCTGTGTGCGTGTGTAAAGAATACTAAGTTATTTTACAAGGCAATTTGTATCCACTTAGCATCGTTTCAATGTATTAGTGGATGAACATCTGCTATGGCTTAAATAGCTAATGTACGCGTGGACTCATGAAAAACTACCTATAGACTTAAATTTTGAGGATCACTCAACTCCTGAGAAACAGAAAGGAGTGGTGAATCAACAAAAATGGTGTGTTTTCAGTGGCTTGGTATCTTCTGAACATTTCTTTCTAGGTGCGAGATTCATATTAACTTTGTCATTTTAACTACCAATCTGAAAAATTACAAACATGATGATATAGCTTTTCATGAATAATAAGTGATATATGATGACTGGTTGTGAATACACCCACCTGATTCCGGACTTATTTGAAGGATCTAGGCTGAAATGTTGCATACCACAACAATAAACAGTGTCTTATGTTGAAGAGACAGCTATCTTTCCTCAATGTTCACCTACTGAATGATATGAGAAGCTAACACTTGGAACAGCAGAAACGAACAGCGTCTTAAAAGCAACTGAGTATCTGATGCGTAAGCGTTATGTTATTCAAAAGAATATGGTTGCTGTGAATGGTTTATTGATGGTAGTTCTACCTAAGACTGAGCTCTGAGTAACGTAATTTTGAAGGTCATCATCAGGATTGAGTTTTCAAGGATGGAGTACTCTCATATTACTTCTATCACTTGTAATAAGTTGAGAGTATTCATATTTTGTAAGAAGTCCGAAGGACGCTACTTCAGTGACAATCCTGCACAACTTCAAAGTGTAAATCCGATCTACAAGATTCAGTCTTCTATTACATAACCACTAATGATCACTTTCATACACACAGTTTATGTGAATTATTATTTGTTAATACTTGTAATTCCATGTTGCTACATTAGGTCGAGTGAATCTACCTCCATACCTCAGTGATATAATGGTTAACGTTCTGGTTTTTGAAGCAACGATTATGGGACTCTAGTCTCTCTCTCAATGGGTACATCATCACTCACAAGAGTACGGGCATATCCAACTGACGAGTCCTAAATAGGACAAAACTCAGGTGTTGGATTCCACTGCTAGCCACCAAGACGTCACTTATGCACACAGAGTTTGTACGGCTCACTGGACTGCTGAAGATTTAAAAACTACATGAATCACAATGAAATTTGTCTCTTCAAGTAACCATTGTAACTTTTCTTAGGTTGAAAGAAGAAAATTAATAGAACAGATAACAATTTACTACTACTGAGTGCACTGGAATATCCATATGTTGAATGACAACTAATTTCAGTATCAAATAGTGGCCACTTCGCAGTATTACTATGCAAATAGCTCACTTTAAGTGGACTAAATTACAAAGTTTCAACCGATTTATTCTATGAAGTATTCTTTATGAAAAGTAAGACTGATTATTACTCAATATGAAGTTATCCAATTATTGTAAACACTTGCCACTAATTGATCTACTGAAATAAATGAGTTATCTAAAGCAGTGTTTCTACTCAAACGATGACCGTTAATACACTGGCTAAGTCCGCAACCTTCACCCAAGATTCGAGTGTGGACACTTTTAATGAAATGTCTACTGAATTGACCAGAAATTCGACCAGTGTTTCTTTCAATTCTCATCCACTGTGGAATAAGATTTGCTAGCATATGAAGTCTGTTACCCGAATCTCAGACTTGTCAATACTTTTTATTATTATTATTATGCAAACAGATAAGTTTTTCACATGCATCCATTCAAGAAATAGACTTCTAAGCGGTTGTTTGTTAATCAAGAATGACATGACGTCACTAACACATGAAATAACATGTGACAATAAAGAAGCAAATTTCTAAGTGCCCTATACAACAGATGTTGGCATGAAGGTAAAATCTACCAAATAGTCAGTCTTATCTTAGTGGATAGTGCATAGTGCAATGCTATTCATCAGTTAAATTCACGGTTCCACTGCTTAGTAATGGTACCATCGAGCTATCTAAGCGTCGACAGATCAAACAGGATTCGAACCAGCGACTTACTGGTTGAAATTCAACTATGTCGATCAATCATTGAATGACAGCTACTCTCTGTGTGTTCAGCAAACTTTTCATCTTAATACGACTTCAACTTGTGTAAACTAGAAAAAAATAGAGAACGCCTTCATAAATGGGTCAAAAGTTGAATAGATTTCGAAAATAGTTCTAGAAAAATAAGAGTTTCTTGTCATTTGTAATGTCCTCTCACACCTGCCGCCTAGGCAGCATCTCCACTCATTTTGACCCACCTACAAGTGATACCGTTGGACACTTCCAAAAAGTAAATCATTAATTCCGATCACTGGTTGTTATTTCATGAGTAGTATTAGCTTATATTTCAAAAATAATAATTGACTGCATTGTTAAGCACTTGATAGGCTTTGCAAGAAAAACTTCCTATTTCTCGAATACTTTTTTAACCAAGCGAAAGTGAATCACATTCATAGTAACATTCCTACGAAATGTTAGCAAAACCTTAGTCTAACATAATACGATATCCATTATGAGAAGTTGGAAAAAGCGCAAAACACAAGGAATGTTGAAATCCAATTCCAGAGTGCTCAAATGATGATGTCACTTAACTCTTGGTTCTCGATATCAGCGACACGTTTGTGCATTATGCTGTCGATTCTTTATTAGAAGCAATCGGCTGATACAAAATTCCTAAATACTCTCGTAATAACTAGGTGTGTTGCGTAATCAATCTCTCATGTGTACTGAAACAAGTGACACAAAATGAACGAGTTTCATCAGTGCGTGGAAAAGAGTTGACACATTGGGCATCTTCAGTGTATATTTACAAGTTCGCTTTATCTTGTAGAAATGAGTCCGTTCGCCGTACTATGCGCTGACTTAAAAAACGGGTTCGCAAACATTATCTTACCTGGTTGGTGAAGGTTGAGAACAAAATCGTCTTCAGCTCCATCCTTGTACACCTCGTAGACTCTGGACATCTACCTCACCCCACTTCAGTTCTAATGCATCGAGTTTCGGATATCCATCTAGGCGTTGGTGATGTTGAAGCCTCGAAACACTCATAGCCCAAGCTGCAACTATTTAATAATTTCATGTTTTCTATTCCTGAGTGCAGACCGGATCCTATCGATCATATTTGCGATGTGTCAACCAAGCTAGGAAGCTCAGCACTGCGGTGCACATAAGAAGATGTTAGTTGGTTGGAGGCAATCGGCAGGAAGCCCTGGACCTAGGTTTCGTGCTTTTTGGCACTTGTCAGCAAGGCGTATCTGCAACCCCGAAGGAACTCATGTCCCGCCTGAGATTCGAACCAGTATCACCCAATGTTGTAGTCGGCGACTTTATCACTTTATTATTTCTTCTTCTTGAAATCTTTGAAAAAGTTTGATGTATCAGCCATTATTCGTTATTCTTCAGAGTATGGCACTGTACATCGAACGAGGTGAGAATCAAGGGAGTTCTAGGCCAATTAACTCACCCACTCCTCTACTTCTTAGCTTCGCTAACAGTTGAACATCAGAAGTGAACTTTTCTTTCCTCTTTGCGACCCTGAAGATTATAATAACTTGTAAATGTTTTAAGTGAATCTCAATCATATCATGTGGAATAAATCTGACATGTGAAGAAGATATGAGGATGATGAGGTTTAAGGCTGACAGACTGACTGGTCTCGAATCTAAAAGTCTTACCATCTCTGTACACTTTGATGGATGTTGGTTGACTGGAGGAAATCGGGAGGAAGCCTTGCCTTGCCTGGCCCAGGTTTGGTGGTTGTTGACACTCTTTAACAGGACGTATCTATAACCTCGAAGGATCTGATGCCCTGCCAGAGATTCAGGGCCACATCACTCAGTGTTGTAGTCATCAACGTTACCATCGAGACATTTCAGCCACGATTGACCTCCTATGGGACTGATTGACTGGGTTACATTCAGTGATTTCTAATCATTTCAAATTTCTCTAACATTACCACTTTATTTTCCAGTTAGTAAAACTAACACTTTGTTATACTGACGGTGATTAAAGTGAGTTATCCTTCCACCTGATTCATGTTACTGACATATTGATCAAATTATTACCATCACTGGGAATGATCTCAACAGTTCTGTTTACTTCATGTCAATCAATCTTTTACTGCTTTCAGGTATGGGTTGACTATAAGGATATGCTTTATGAAACTGATATCATGGAAGGTATGGCTAAAGCAGTGGAGAATTCATTTGTTGTTTGCATTCTCTACTCGCAATCTTATAAGGAAAGCTTGAACACAAAATGTGGTAAGTTAATTGTCAATAGCACTGTTGAGTTGGTAAAGGAAGTCAGTTGAACAACCACTTTTATACAAAGTGAACAGTTTGTAACGACTCAAGTTTTTATTAACGTAAGTGTAAAACTTGAGCATCGCCGTAGAGTATATTTCTATATTAGATTTGTTTATTTGATATAGCTAGTACGCAGGGTTACAACATAGTCCAAAACATCTTCATCCGTTCATTTTAATCGTAGCCTAATTTTCCATATGATATCCGCAGTAAGTGGTGAATGAATGATTCGTATTGCATGTGCTACAGGTGTATTGATGTTGTTCAATGAAGAATGATTCTGTGATTCATCGCTGCCTCCCTCCCTCAATTTGACTATATTGGGATTTCAAAATGTCAGCTTATCCCACCCTCCATAATGTGATTATGGGTCATTGGATGTGTAGTGATAGCCTACATTTTTTTCGAAATTATTTGTGTGAATAGGCTCCATCAATGTATAATTAGCTAAATGCTTATGCTCTACTATCCCGACTGACCTTGACTGGGTGATTCCATCTATATAATACATGACCTCACGATCATTACATGGAATTTGATAGATTAGATTATTTTGGCTTATTGGCTCTACATATGCCATGTGCAATTAGCCTACAAAGTTTCTCTCAGAGGGAGTTTGTGAGTTGGAAAGCCAACGTAATCCCTGCCCACACATGCACTGACTAACCCATTCTCAGATTATTTAGCGTAGGATAGTGTGACAGCCCTAAAATCTAAAATAGCTTGATAACTTAGTCGTGGAATCATGTCCACCCAGACAAATATGGTAGGGTGGGTAGAGATGTGAAGTCCAATATATGTGTCTATATCACATTTTTCAGGATTATGCAAACAGTGACACTTATCTGAGAGGAGATTTACATTTCAACTTCCGCTTTTCGGCTGATATAAAAAGTAACACAACACATTTCTCCCGTTTTTGTTTCCATGTCCTCGTCACTACAGCCGTAGTGATATTCTATTACAAATTCCACATTGACACTACACTACATTTTCCCTCACCTTTCTCTATCCTTCACTCCCGAATATATGGATGACAGACAGTTGGTCCGTTTCAATGTAGCAGTCCGTTTGTTGTTCATTAAAAAGCTAAAGATGGCGATGCAAAACTGTCTTTTGTAACTTTCTAAAGTATTGTCATCTATCTTTCTATCTATTCCTTAATATTTCAGAAGCTCAATATGCGTATCATGAGAAGAAACCATTGATTTTTCTACGTGTGGAACGAGGATATGTACCGAATGGTTGGTTAGGCTTTATGATGGGTACACGATTATATATTGACATCTCTGGGAAATATCCATTTGAAGAGAAATTTACTGATCTATGCCAGAGAATTGATACATATAGACAGATTTCAGTTGACCGAACATATCAAAAATACCACAAGAAGTCAACAGAAATGGTATGTTGCATCCTGTAGTTTCACTAAGTAATTTCAGCACTTCATGCATTGCCCTATTTCATGTCAACTTTATAGAATATTCCATTATTTACTACTTTAAATTACCACTTATCGTGCGCGTATGACACGAGTGATAAGAAATAACGATACATTGGCAGTTACAATCAAAGCGAATGGAACACTGAAAGCAATACGCTGCCATACAGGTTTAAAGCTTCGATTCGTCTTCATAACATATTGTCTAGCAATATGGATTGTTTGACGAGTAGATAACACAATTATGATTTTGAAATAAGAAGACATTCAGAGATCTCCATGCACATAAACTCAATATTAGGTGGAATGCAATTCGCTTATGAATTAGAAAATGAAACGGAAGAATTAACTATGTTGGATTGGTTTGCAGTCAAGAGGACAGAAGATGAAAGCATAGATAGCAGTGATTATAGGAGACCAAAACATTAGAATAGATACTTGGATTTCACATAATCTCACCCTATCTCTGTCAAAGTGGGCTAGGGGTTTGACTAGTAGGTGGGAAAATAAGGAAGTAAAACACATTAAACAGACACTACCTCTGAAAACTAACTACCCACCTAACTTTGTTAAAAATATTTTACAAGGATTGATAAGAGACTGGCAGTGATGCTGTTAGTGATGATTGTAACATGAAAATGAAAAGCAAATGTCCCTCAAAGACTGTCTTCACGTTGGAGGAGTCGTTTTTTCAGTGGTTCAACATTCTTTCTGTGTTATCAATTTGAGTAGGAAGTAAGCACTGTCTGTGCATGATAGGCAAACAAGTAGGCGAAAGTGGTGTATGAAGTGATGTATGCATAGTTCTGCTGAATATCTTTTGACAAACTGTCTGAAGGTGTTGGATGAATACAACAGAAAAAAATCTGTCCACATTTGACCATGAGTAATCAAATGATGCTCATCACGATAATGATGCCAAGGTTTTTTTTGATTCAGTAAGATAGTGGTGAATTAGTCAGTGGTCACGAAAATCATAATAGAAAGACACCATGTGTGCGCATTGTGATTTTCAGTGATAAAGATAATATGAAAATGATCAGTGATAAATTAGAACTTATCTGAAGTGGAATCCTGATGAAATGTACCAGATAATATTGACCAGATGGTTAGAGGGAATGGACAGAAATCCCTGTTTAGTCTGATTCTCTTGCTTGTTTGCACTTGTCAACAAAGCGTATCTACGAATTCAAAGAGCCTGGTTTGATGACCCTCTGACAGTGAAATCCACACCTCCAGTGTTGCAGTCACAAACGTTACGACTAACCTCCTGTAGGATTGGATCAAGTCAATCGATCAGGTAGTGACTGGCGAACAACCGATTTCATATTTTCTAGTCTTGAATGCTGATCAAGCATTTTTAATATGGTCTGTAGGCTGAGACTTAGCGTCGAGGTGCACTTGACTTGACTGATGGGAGACAGTTAATGGCGAACGAAAGCAGTCCCCGGAAATATACACTGCACTAAATGTACATCCACATCATCAATTCCTATGAAGCAAGTTATAACAATCAATATCTTGCCATTTATTCGAATGATATTTACATAAGTACAATCTTTGTGTTTCCTTTACTCTACAGTTGGTTATATAACTGACACGTTTCACTTTTAAATACACTTTTTTTTTCAACCTTAACACAGGGATCAGCACAAGAATGTTCGGGTGCGTGACACTTTCCGTATGCTACCAAGTGATTTGTATATCTTGTAAGGAAGAAGAAATAAAACTATTAGATAAATTTCATCGAATTCAAAGACATATAGCATTCTCTTAGATTTTGTCTTGGCATTCTGCCAGAAAATAGAATATGAAACAATCTTCTTCTCCTTACTGTCTGTCTGTTTCACTTTCCCCTTATTTATTCTCTGTAGATCTGTTGTTGTTAACAATTTTCAGTCCGTTTCTATTTAATCTCATCGATCATACTGAAAAATGTGTAGGCTTTCTCATTCTCCCCTGAGGTGGATGCATTGTGGAAGATGAAACAAATTCAATTTCTACCAATAAACAGAAAACTTCTGTATCTGTCTAGTCAAGTATATATCTCACCATCAATTCAGTTAAAACTATTCATCAACTAAAATACTTATTATCATTTGTCGCTTGGGTTCCTAGTGGAACACAGGGCTTCACTAGCACGTCTCCGATGCGCTCCGTTCTCTGAAATCTTTTGAACCTGGCTCCACAACAGCCCACAAGCTCATTTCCTCCTCACACGATCTCCTCCATGTCACTCTCGCCTCGGACGCCCAACTCGTCACTTCTCATCTGGGTTCCACTCGACCACCTGGCCTGGCGCGTGGTGTCCCCAGTCGGTCTTCTCAGTGTATGCCCAGTCCAATCTGTCTCCACTTCCTTCCACTGCACATTTGTTGGGCGATAGCTTCTTGGTTGGTTCGTTACCAGGCCAGAGTTCCTTGTTGCTTATTCTGACTATTCTGGCCATCTGATCTTCAGTAATGAGCTAGCGTAGGCAGTTGTTGATGAATGTCTGCAGTTTGTTGGGAATGCATTTCGTAACGTGCCAAGTCTCTGAGCCATACAGAAGCACTGATTTGACGTTGGTGTTGAAAATCTGGATCTTGCTCCACATGCTGAGTGCAGAAGATTTCCACAATGGTTTCAGGTTAATGAAGGCCTGTCTTGCTTTTCCGATCATGTCTGACTTTGACATGTTTGTCTGTGCCGCCTGTAGTTGAAACAGTGCTGCCCAGATAGGTGAAAGAGGCTACTTCCTAACTAAAATACTAATGAAATGCTTAATTTAAATCTCAGTTATCGCAGAAAGGGTTTTGTTGATTACTCCGTGTATCATGCACGATTCAACCTGAGGTAAGCTGACATATTACTACTGACCTAGATAGCACAGAACATCTATTCTCTCCTCAGTAACAATCAGTTATATCGTGTGGTAGGTAGAAAGCACTTAGTCGAAAAGATGTTTTGTTAAGCTGCTGTAGACTAGTGATCGCCCCCTTTCACCGGCCACATCTTAATCCAATAGTCACTTGATTACAGAAACCAACCGTGTAACCACTATTTGACTGTCATCACTTTTTCATGATACCATGCAACCTCATCTATCCAATAATAGTATAACTTTTTTTATATCATATCGTCATTGATTGGACCGAGTCGATCGGTCTGTATTGGCATATGGACCCCTGTGCGGATGCCTCAATATTATCTGTGCTCTAATGATAATAATGATGGATAGTGGCCGGCAGTGGAATGCAAGAAGCGCATTTCGTCCTGTTTGGGACTCGTCAGCTGGATGCACTTGATTCCCGGTGAGTAATGTTTTTCCCACCGGGAATCAAGCACATCCTACTGACGAGTCCCAAATAGGACGAAATGCGCATCCTGCATTCCACCGCCAGTCAGTATCCATCATTACTATCCAATAATAGAATTCTTTAGTTTTATTTATTCCCAGACTTTCGTAAATGAAATATGTAGTTGATTAAGGAAAGATAAGTATCACTGATGAACTACATTCTGTTCAAAACGTTGAATGAATGACAATACATGATGTGAAGGGTTTTAAAGGAGGAAGTGATCGGCATTCAGACTGAAGTATTCATTGACCTTTATGATAAAGACTGTTTCTTAAAAGTTGGCTTTATTTTAACTAACATTTAGTGTAGTTTCGCTGTTTGTCTGATCATCACCAGCAGCAGTGCTACATCTCCATGATCAGACCAATTCCAGTCATCCAGTATGTTCAGCCTGCACTCGACTGGTGAGACGTTCGGTGTATGCTCATCTCGAATAGTGTATCCTGATGACGAGAGGGACTAACAGGAAGCACTGTGATGCACACATCCTGTCACCTATTGACCTCATACACAGACGGGTCGACAACACATCGCATGCAGGCTACATTGCCGATTCGAGAGTATGTATCGATAAGGGATCATCTATAATCAGTCATCCAGGACACTTAACTCCACCTGTGGTCCTCCTCCCCCCCCCCCCTCCCTATACAGCCACGTTTGCAAACTGGATCGCATTGACTGACCAGCCAAAATAGATCACATGATCAGCCACTAGCAATCACACTCAGTCCACCAATGATATGGTCAACCAATCACCCAGGCAGTTAGGTAGTCAGCTTATCTGTCTATCAATATGTCTTCCGATTAAGCACTGATGAACAACCATGTAAAGTAGATGCACAAATGAAGAGTACAATCGATGTATGTATAAACAGATATATGGAGAAATTCATTGCGTTAGTCAGTCGGAGTTGCATTCTGGCGGTTATTCTTTGTGCTCTTTATGCCCAACATTAATAGTTCCAAATGAGTTCCAACATGAAAACTGACAATGTTTTAGTTGATAATGGCCTGTATTCTACCCGAATCTTATACCTCTTGTTTTAACCGATGGGAGACAACACAATACCTGACAATAACAGACCAAATAACATGTTGAACCTTCTCCCGTTAGACGGGAAATTTCGTCAAAACAATTCGAGTATTTGAACTTGAAATGGAAGTGTTTACACCGGAACTTCTAGCTGAAATACATTTCTCATAATTTGAGAGAGATGGTTCAATTTATTACTGTTATGTTCAAACTACTCAACAGAAGATATTGATAAAGTTTGTTTCAACTTGCCAAGTGCCGTTAATCGATGGCAGAATCTTCGTTGAGTACATCTGAGCCACATCAAGCTAACAAAACACATGCCACAACGAAGCAGAAAACAATCACACCATTGGTTTTCCTTTAAATATGTCACAAGTGAAAATCTTGTAAGTCTCTAGCTCTTGCATCAAAAGTGGCTGGTTAACATGAATTCGGTATTCGGTTTCAATGAGCAAACAGTTCAGTTCATTATGTAAACGACTATTCAAATACAGGTTTCACTAGATTCGTTTTCAGTACCAAAAGTCAGCAGTAACACATTGGGGTATTGCTTCAAACTGTGGGCTGGGTTGAGAAGGTTGTAAGTAGCCAGATAAACGAATAGTAGCAGGGTCAGATAGGCGACCACTGTGGATATTTAAAGACAGTGGTCGAGGCGTATTGTCCCAGTTAACTGAAGTTTCAGAAGGTCTACGGGAATCAGATATGACTACCTCCGACTGATCTCAGTCAATGGTTATCCGTCTTCAATACACTGGAGAAATCCTACTGTTCTAAGCATAGCCTGAAAGATATTGCGTCTAAGCTTATAGATTCTATCATTATTATTAGACGTCTGAGTGCAGCTTCAAAGCAACAAACGCGAGAAAACTAGATAGGTTTCATGTCTGCTTTTTTGGAGTACCGACCAAATATTCACCCTGTGTTAGCTTATGGAAGATAAGCACATGTACTGACTCCAGGAACAAGCTGTATTTCTCTACTCGAAAATAGCATTTAACTCCTCCAATCAAGAACTCGTATCGTGTTGTCACTCTCTTTCTAGAAGAGGCTGGCATACATTATGGACTGGCATCAGTTGGAGAGACACTGGAAACGTGAGAGAACTAGACAGCTATTTCGTCCTAGTATGCAACTCTGCAGCAGTGCACTCCCACGATCCCGCCTGGGATGGAACACAGGACCTCCAGGTTCCGTGCACATCACTTAACCATCCAAGTAACTCATTCAGGATCCAGTGGTCCATATCTCCTACTTCTGTCAGTTCATGATACAGTGCGATTTCCATTCAGTGGCGTCACTGAGTACCTGTCCTCATGTTCGACTTGATTGGCATCACCGGTCATGACTTCTCATTGGAACCCCGATAATCACCTCTCGAAGCTAGTCAAATCATCAGTAAGCTTGTTTGGATTTTATCGATTTTATGTTGACAATCATCATTGACTGATATCAGTTGGAGAGGTGATTACCGGGGTTCCAATGAAAAGTGGTGACCGGTGGGGCCAGCCAAGTAGAACATGAGGACAGGTATTCATTGATAATGGAAGTTGTCACTCTTCGTATGAGATATTCTCATCTTCAAAAACAATCCAAAATATCTAAGTTCAGTCAACAAACACGTGCACACTTGTGGGGTAGACAAAGATTTACACCTTTTGTATGATTGTTAAGCATATTACCTGGTCGATCAGTCCTGGCAAGGTGGAGCAGGACTCGGACATGAAATTTACTGGGTGGAGGAAAAAGCCAAGCCTACTTCACGACTGCTTCTCAACCTGTGGATCAAAATCAGAAAAAAAGGAATCCAGGACACGTGTTTCCTCTGCTGCTTGCAACAACCAAGTCAATTATCATAATAAATATTCAATCAATGTCAAGGCATTCGCATAGGAACCCATATCCCCATACAGGTCGGACAATTCGATGCAGTATAACAAGGGAAAATTACAAGTATATCAGAAAATAGTAAAACGAGATAACAGTTTCGTTTCAGAATGGTTATTTCTCTCATACAACACTGGTATAACAATTTTAAATGTCTCCAGAACAGAAGAAATACGCATCAAGTGTGCACTATATGACTATTTGCAACCTATAAATTCAATTTAGCAGATGAATGAACACAGTATAGATCATTACTTATCACCATGAGAACGTATCACCTAGAGGAAGGACAAATTCTACAAGGAAGGAAGCTGTCTTAAATCACCAGTTCGATATGGAGAGAACATACACGTAAGCTTCCAACAGTCACCACCGGCTATCAAGCGTCATTCTTCTATATTTAATCACCCGGCCAATAGCAGGATTGGATTGATGCTCTGTCATGTTTTACTGAAGTATCAGACACATATACATAGGTGGAATTAGAAAGGTGATTTAATGGTATCAAACGTTTCACGTCCGAAATGTCAATTACAGCACATATGACTGAAATCCATTGTTGGCTAGTTTCAAGCATAGATCACCAACTAGTCATAGAGCCGAGCCTAAACTTGTAATACCGAATAAGTATGATTCACACTCATATCTAATTATGTATTGAGAAAATAGTGAATCTGATCTGTTGCTCATCATGGACTACTTCACTCCTATGTATCATGGAAACGAAGATAAAAGCAAATAGTTGGCTACTGTAGATCAT